TCAATTAAAACTACAGAAAAGCAAAACTACTTCACTTTAGCATTACTGGCCACGAGTACTAAGGAGAGATCACACATCAGCTGCACAATAAATGTTTCTTGAGCAGCAAATCGGCAGCATGATTTCTGCAGGATCATGTGACACTGAAGACTGGAGTAATGGCTGCCGAAAATAAATTACGTTTTAAAATATGTTCAAATAGAAAACCCTTATTAGTTTAAATCGTAAGAATATTTAACAATATTACTGCATTTTGATCAAATAAATGCAGCCTTGTGAGCATAAGAGACTTCTTTCAAAAAATGTTACAAAATCTGACTAACCCCAAACATTTAAACTGAAATAATGTATGCTCAAATCTGTCGAAATGTATTGATTTTACTGATTTGCACAAATCTTTTCCTCTGTATGTACACACATTGCAGAACATAATTCTTCATAGTTCTGAAAAATAGCATGGTAGTTAATCAAAAGTTTTTGGTCTGTTATGGTGGAAAGAAGTTTTCTGGGTGTGAACTATGAGTGTTATAAGAGGTGTGAAGCAGCATGATGATTGTTGGCAAATATGAATCACAAATATGATTTTTTTTTCATTATCAGTGGAAAATGTGATATCAACACTGATCTGGCTGCTTTTATCAACTTATTGAATTTTGATTACCTTCTTTACCATCTAGTTTCTATTGTATTCGGTTGTATCACTTCTCTGAACCCACGTCAGCACGTTCGCAGCCCTGAATTGGTGTAAACTCGTGGTGAAAGGTTGAGAAATTTACAGCTGTGGTGCGAAAACACATTTGTGGTAAATAAAACATTCCAACTTAGATTAGTTAACTTGGATTAGTTTTAATAATGATATAGTGTTGCAGTATGTTAGCCGCTAGACATCAGAGTAAGGTTAGTCCAGAGCAATAATTCCTCTGATCAGCAAAAGCTGTCACATTATTATAAACACAGTGTAAATACAACAGAAGACAAGAAGTCCACACTGATCAACTTAAAGGTAAATAGTAAATGTGAATTAATGCCACTGTTCATATTCATTTTCAGCTTGTATTTGATAGATGTTTTCCACAGCCATCTCTCTGTTGTACAGGCCCACGCTGCTGCCGGAGTTACTGTAGATGACAGAGTTCTCTGAGTTCTGGGTTCTGAGGGAGAAAAATTATGAGAAACATTTTGTTTAATGACCAGCAATGCCCATGACATATAAGGTGACCTAATGGAAGCATCATACTGTACTTGCTTTGATGCTGCTATGCATTTCACCCATCGCTTAATTTAGTTTTTAATGATAATATGCACAATATTATTGCCTCAATGATTTCAAGATTATAAGACACACTACTGTTCAAAAGACTGGTGTAAGTAAGATTTTTTAAATGTATTTGAAAGTCCTTTACTGTATTTGTGATCAAATAAATGCAGCCTTGGTAAAAGCAGCAATATTGTGAAATATTAGAATTTAAAATAACTGTTTTCTATTGCAATGTATTTTAAATAGTAATTTATTCAATTTAATCTCAGTGATGGCAAATTTAAAAAAAAGTAATTACTCCAGTCTTAAGTGTCACATCCTTTAGAAACTATTTTAATATGCTGATTTACTGCTCAAGAAACATTTCTTAATTACTATTAATGTTGAAAACAGTTGTGTTTAACATTTTTGTGGAAACCATGAAAGTTCAAAAGAACAGCATTTATTTGAAACAGAACTTTTTTTGTAACAACGTAAAAGTCTTTACTGTCACTTTTGATCAATTTAATGCATCCTTGCTGAATAATAATAATAATAACAAAATCTTACTGACCCCTGACATTTGAATGGTAGTATGTGTAAAATGATAAGTGGTGGTATTTTAGCAGTATCATGCCAACAGTAAATTCCCATTTGTTTTCATCGTTTTATTTATCGTTTAGATTTATTTATAAATCTGTTTTTAATCAAAATAATTTTGGAGTTAATGTTTTGAATCCTTCTAAATTCAGTATAATAATCCCTTCCAGGATTGACTTACATGTCTACCGCAGCTCTGTTTTTCTTCTTTTGCTTCACTGAAAATAAACACAGTTTCATTTTCTAATTAATAAACACAACGGATATTGCTGTGAGATTTAAAAATGTGAATTGACCGAATGCACTTTGGACTCACATATCAGAATGACAGCAATGACTATCAAAGCCAGCAGTAACAGGATGACAGGCACAATCACCGCAGATGTATTTACCTTAAAACACAAATCAGTATAAAGATATCAAATGATCATTCTTTCAAATATGTTTCAAAAACATCTGAGGCTTTCTATTGTGGTGACATACTCACACTATCTTTTTTTTCCATGGATGATGATTCACGATGATCAAATGAGGTTTCTTTGTTATAATGAAAACACAATGCTCAATCAGCATATTCACAAATACACACAATCGTTACACACAATTATAAATATCATAAAATGATTTGCTGTCTTATACCGTATGTTGTGTCAGAGAGCCACAGTCCAAAAGTTCTGCTCTTTGGAGGATTTGTTGAAAAGGCGAATGAAGCACTCTCTTGTGTTGTGTTCGTTTCTACTACAAAAAAAGGATAATGTCACATATAATGTTCTTCCAATTTAAAAAGCAGAGATCATTAATGACTAAATATTTGTACAACATGGAAGTGCATACTTCTGACTTGCCAAAATCGATCATTATTAATAATGATAGATTACAGATAATGAGAACTGAATCAGTTATTCAGAAATGAAAGCTTTTCTTCAGTCATTATAGATTCACTGCCAAGGTTAAAATCAAAATACCTCCTGAAGTTTCAGTGGTCTGTGTTCAGAGGTTATAAATAGTGGTTACCAAAGGCTCTGGTGTGGTTGGACCAGGTGCTTTGAAACAGGATGTACAATGTTCCTTTTTAAACGTTCACACTCTCACATGAGCAAGAAAACGGCGGACAGGACTGGATTTACTCAGCAGTGATCTAATCTGTGATGACGGAATGATGGCAGATACAATTTTATTAATCTGTTCATTATCATCACCAAAAATACCTTCTTTATAGACTTGGTTAGATTTGTTTTTAGTGTGGTATGTTTTCATCATTCAGCCATGACAGATTCACAAAGACAATATAAAATCACATATAAACACACACAAGTACCCTCTGTCATGGCAGTGCTGAAAACTCCTGTAGGTTCATGCTCTGATGTGCTGCTCGACATGGATGTAGTTTTCCATGTTGTTGGAATAAGTGCTTTGAAGAAAGTGTATTCCAATGTAAAACTGTACTACTTTTGTTTATATCTTGTTTTTTTTTTTAACGTTTTCTACATCTACACTGTACCATTCAAAAGTCTGGGGTCAGTAAGAGCATTAATTTGATCAAAAATACAATACAAACAGTTATGTTGTGAAATATTACTACAATTTAAAATGTTATTTATCCTTGCTGAAAAAAGTATTTATTAAAAAAAAAAAAAACGTTCTACTAACCCCAAAATGTACAAATAAATAAATAATAAAATTAAATAGGAGTAGCAGACTAGCAGAATGATTGTTGTAAACAATTAAATCACTGGATTTAGTAATTTCAAGTGTTTTGGCATTGGAAAGCTATGCTTTCAACACTTACCGTCATTAACAATCAAGTGGACGTAATACATCTCATCATTAAACAGTCCAGGCACATGTATGCGGCATCCATATTTGCCAGAGTCTTTTTTTTCAATGTTTAAGATGGTCAGAGACACGTCTCCACGCTGTATTTCTCCCGCCAGCTGGTATCTGGATGATATTTTCCTCACCACTTTATCTCCATCACTTCCAATAATTTCATTTCCACAACCCATATTGGGAATGTCTCCTATCGTCCAGCATATGTGACATTTTCCATGATATTTGCTGTCATATTTGCATGGCAAAATGACACGCTCACCCTCGAAACTCTGTACAATGACGTCGCTGCATTTTGAAACTGAGAGAGAGAGAGAGAGAATTTTATATTTACATCATAAAATCTATATCAAACATTTATGAAGTTAACATACACAATTCTACACAATTCTAGATAACGTGCCTTGTTCGCATAAAATGATTTTAGGGGTTACTGCATAATTAAATACTACTGTACATAAATAAAACATATTTTAAAATATTAATTTGAAATCTTTGTCCTCACTTTCACAAATTACTGGTTGTAACCACATTTCAGTATAAATCTGAAACTCACTTGTGAGATAACAGAGAACCCAGGATGCAAAGAACCAGCTGTGAAGATCATTCATGATGAAAAGGTTTCTCCCTCTCTGCAAGTAATGCTCAAGACAACCTCATCTCTCTTACATGATAACCCTTTGTGCGGAAGTCAACATGCACATGACACCTTCTCAGCTTTTCTTAAATGTGCAGTCAGACTTCTTTTTTAGAGTTTCACTTCCAGATGTGACCTACTAGCCTACTCTGTGGTCAACTTCAAATAACGAAAGAGAGACTTGTGAAAACATATTAACATTAAAACACACGCCACTAAACATCACACGCGAGTTTTTGCTTTTGTTTATTAAGATTTAGGTTTTTGTACATTATTAAAACTGTTAGGTTGACATTTTTTATGCAACTTCATTGAACACTAGAGGCCGCTATTGTATGATAAAACAGACCATAAATCAGAATTCCAGACAAACGCTCAAAACTTTAATCCCACGTGGAGTTTGAACATTAGTAATGGATTTCTAAGAGATGCATGACATTAGATTAGAGTTTGGAAGCTTTAGACCTTACAAATGAAGATACAAGTAACAAACATTTCATAGACTAGCCTATACAGTGAAACAACAACAACAACAACACAATAATGTAAATAAGTGATCTTAGATTCAGATTAATAACTGATCAGTTATTTTATAAATATTAGACACTGAGAACAAACCACAAAAAAACAATCCATGTCACCATGCATGTGGTTTTACACAGTCATAGTGACCTCAGAACTATCACACCATATCCCTTTGTGTGGTTGTTGGGCCGGGAAGGCTGTTAGATTTTATATTCTCATGCAGCTGGTGTATTCTCTGGAGCGCAGTCCTGAGGGCAAAGCGTTCAGATAGACGCGTTAATGCACAGTAAGCAAAACGGGCCATGAGTCACCTCTTTCACTTCCACTCAGCCATGGAGGCACATTCTGAGAGCCAAACTAAAACTGTATGCAGCACGAGGATCTGCAGAAGTTTCCACACAGCCATATGGAATGAGCAAATGTTTCTTGTTCATGCATTAAATAAAATGTTCAATACACTTTTCAAACTATACATTGTTGGGTATAGGTTTATTTGGGTGAATATGACATATGTGAACATGATAACCTGACAAGGTCACATATTTCACCCCCTATATATATCCTCCTGAGAACCAGAAATAAAAAGCTTTGTGAATTTAGTATTTTTTCATGTCATTACATTGTTTAGAGCATAAGAAAAAAATGGTAAAATAACATTTTTGAAAAATTATATTTTATTCATAAGTTATGCTATGTCCTCTGTAGAGGACACCAGGACTAATAAAAGACAGGAAAATAAAATGACAAGAGCAGACATGAAAAGGCAAAAACTGGGAATTTTTTTAAAATCACCAATCAATTTTTAGGTTTCAGGATTTTTTTATAACTAACTTTAAGGATGGTTCTTAACTATGTTATAAAATATATAATGATTTGATATACCATTTTGCTTTATGCAATATGTGTGTAAAAATTCCATAAACTGGTTTTCCCATTAAGCACAATGTTATCTATACACTGTATCTAATTTGCATATTAAAGTGCTGTTGGGACAGCATGTTGAAAAAAGAAGTGTAATAATGGGAGTAGTAATTGGCCAGATTTTCATAATAATATCTAATATTTCATAAGAATATTGATATATAATTTGTTTTCCTATTCAATTCTTTTGTCTCCCAAAATGTATAATAAACATGCTTTTAGTCCTGGTGTCCTCTACAGTGGACATGTATGAAATGATGTCCTGTTTCATAACAGGAAGTCATATTTTGATTTGAAACCCCATAACATTTTCCTGAGATGTTGATTTATGACAAACAATTTGAAAATTAATCAGATTTAAATAATAATTACAAAATATTATCATATTTCCATAAGAATGTACAATTTTATCACTAAATTAATGTCAGCCATATTTAAAAACCAAGGAGAGGGAGTGGTCATGGTGAAACATCCAATCATTTGGTATCTCTGGAAAGCCCTGAATGTGCTCTGTACAGGACATCCAGACTTAAAACTGTGACATGTGAGGTCTCAGAGAAATTCACTAAAATATAATGTCCACTACAGAGGCAAAAACTCCATAGCTGGGTCTCAGGAGGATATATATATATATATAATTGTTGGGTACAGAGGTTTGACAACCTGACAAAGATGCATATTTCACCCCCTACACTCTTAAAAATAAAGGTGCTTCACGATGCCATAAGAACCTTTTTATCTAAACGGTTCCATAAAGAACCTTTAACATCTGAAGAACCTTTCTGTTTCACAAAAGGTTCTTTGTGGCGAAAGAAGGTTCTTCAGATTATAAAAAGGTAAGAGATGGTTCTTTAAAGAACCTTTGACTGAATGGGTTTTTGTGGAACCAAAAATGGTTCTTCTATGGCTTTATAGTGTATAGTACGTAATAGTACATTAATGTTTTAAATGGCAATGAGAATGACCATTGAGACCTTAATAAAAAAAATGTATTACAACATATTATTCGACAATACAAAATGTAATTTTCTAAATTATGCTTCATCAAAATAATGTCACATTGCAAAAAAAAGAAAAAGTGTATTTTCTTATGCTAATTATAACTTCTTATCTACTCTCTTTTGAGTTTAGATTGAAATGTGATCTGTACATGTTCTTGAGAGATTTCATAAGCTTTTTAAGTTTTTTTTTTTTTACAAGTATTTAATATTTCTCCAGAGCTAAACCATTAAATTTAATTACTTGCTATACTTACTGAATAGAAGTGCAATGATTAAACCCGGGATGAAGACAATGGCCCCCACTCTTACAGTATTTATGACAAATGTTTCCATTGTATCCTAGAATGAGACACAGCATGTATGTAACACCTTCTTCAGGTCCAAAACATATCAAATCAATATGCATTTACATACATAAATTACCTACAACATACTCAAGACAAAATACGGATTGACAGCAAATGCAGAACTGGGCAATACCTCACTATGGACCACTGCAACGGCTTCCTCCATGTAGATGTCAGTAGCTTCTGAAATAAATCATTACGTTTATATTTACTCTTTTCATGCATTGTCTTATATTGCTGAATCACTTTCAGTGTTGATTAAATGTGGTCATGATTATATTCATACCTGCAGTTGTCTTTTCTGATATGATATAAAGCTCAGTAATGAGTGTGGTTTGGTCTGATACATAGTAGACTGTGTTAAAACAAAAAATGGTTAGTCAGGGTTATTTGAACTTTTGATCGTATAGTGATATAGTGATTTTTATAGTATATCACTTGATATAGTGATTTTTGACCACCAGTGAAAGGGTTTCCGACCATTGTGTTCCTATTATGTTAGTATTGGTAATTCATATTATAAATTATGGTTAATAATATAGTAAATAGATGTATTGGTTAATGGATTATTAATTAATCAATTAAATTAATGAATGGAAATACAGGAAAAAAAGTGTGTTGGTTATTGTTTTTTATGCTTTTGAAAACAAAGCTGCATTTATTCAATCAAAAATACAGAAGAAATATTATGAAATTTTGTTACAATTTAAAATAACTTTGACTTTAAGTTTTAAATTGTAATTTATTCAACAGTCATTACTCCAGTCTTCAGTGTCACATGATTATTAAGAAATTATTATAATGTGCTGATCTGATGCTCAATAAACATTAAGATGTTGAAAACAGCCGCTTAAAATTTTTATGGGTTATTTGATGAATAGAATGTTCAAAAGAAGAGTGTTCATTTAAAATAGAACATTATAAATGTCTTTAATGTCACTTTTAAATATTTAAAGGGACAGATCACTCAAATTTTGTCATCATCATGTTGAACACAAAAGAAACATTGGTAACCAAACAGTTGATGGTAGCCATTGACTTGCATAGTATTTTTTTTTCGTATTATGGAAGTCAAAGGCTACCAGCAACTGTTTGTTTACACACATTCTTCAAAATACCTTCTTTTATGTTCAACAGAAGAAAGAAACTCTTACAGGTTTGTAACAACTTGAGGGTGAGTAAATGACATCTTTAGGTGACTTTTAACATCAGCAACAAAAGAAGTAGTCCTACAGACCACTTGAGAAGCACTTCTGCAAAAGTAAGCACTTTCATACCTTGCTTTTCCTGATTTGCTGTTGCAGGAACCAGTTGTGTCTCTGAGATGACTCTCTTTGGATCCAGTCCTTTTATGGAAGAACAGGAGTATTGTACATCATCACAGTGTCAGCACTACAACATTGATATCAAACCGAGCGGTTACTTACCATTGCTAATAAACAGATAGACATTGTAACTAATGTCATTGAAAAGTCCAGGGATCTCGATACGGCACACGTACATCCTAGCGTCCCTCTTTTGAGCAGCCTTTATGGTAAGTGAAACATCCCCTCGCTGCAGTCCACTGGCCAAGCTGAATCTACGTGACTCTCTGTAGGTCACTTGCAAGCCATCGGAGGAGATAACAGTGTTCTCACAGCTGAACCATGACTGATGTCTCCCCCAGCAAATGTTCAATGGGCCATTAGTGATAATGTCATATTTGCAGGGAAGAGTAACTGTATCCCCAACCTGTCCAACTACCAGTTTTGATGATTCGCTGCAGGCTACAGCACATAAACAGAGAGAAGTTTCAACACTTGTGAGTTTTATCATTCATAAGGCACCAAATTATTTGTTTTCACATTTTTCCAGATTCTTTCATACAGACTGCTTTCACAATGGATCATTAAACTAATCAAATAATATTAAGTGAATGATAACAGAGAAAGAAAAGGTGTATTTTTTTCCAAATACAGCACAAGAAACACAACAATAAATAGAACAGTATTCATTATAGCATTAAAAAAACTATATTTTTAATCTGTTTTTCCAGTCAAAAATGTGAACATCCTTAAAATGAGATACATTTAAAGTACTTTGTAAAGTACCTTTGTAGACAATAAATCTCTAAATGTTGCTAGAGTTATGCATAAAATAAGAAAAGAGTTGGAAGAAGACAAGTAAAGCACAACAAAAAAATACTTGATACTATTTTTTCAACTGCACAGGTTTGAAATATAGTAAACAATATTTTATAATATTGCACTGCTGAATTAAAACTTATTTGTACTTACTTGTTACACGTATGTTTGATGAGATAACAATAAGAAAAACAATCATTTTCTTGGCTGTTGTACACTCACTAAGTCACTAATTCATGTGTAAATGTCTCATATGCTAAAAATACGACTTCTCTTTTTCGTGAAGGCTGTTCGCCAATAGGAATAACTTAAACATGCTATTGGTTCCACAGCCAGACAGAGAATTTGTATCCCTGTATTTTTTTTTCATGTTTTTTATACAAGTTTGGTGTCCGTCTGTTTTCTTATTCTTTTATTCTACAGACATTTATGCTGTTCTTTTGAACTTTCTTTTTATCTGGTAATCCTGAAAAATCACATATTATGTATATGTCACACGTATCACAGTTGTCACAAAAACTACAAAAACTATACATTTGAAATGGTCAAAATATGTCACAATATTACCTGTTTTTACTTGAGTAATTGATCAAATAAAGAAACATAAAAAAAGTCAAATCTTACTGACCTTAAACTTTGAATAGTACACTGTAAAAAATGATTGTGATTTTAACAGTAAAAGACTGTAAAAATGCTACAGTAAATTTATTAACATTACATCAGTTAATGAAATACGGTATTTTATTGTGAATTTAAGTTAAGTCTGTAAAACCTCAAATGTTGCTACCATATTTTTTACGGTGACGTTCTGGCAACCACAGCTGCTGGTATTTTACCGTAAATGTCACAGATTTTGTTTTTACAGTGTAGTGTATATGAGAGCAAAATTGGGGAATGATAATAATAATTTCTATGTTTAATAATATAATATAATATAATCTCTGAGATATAATCTCAGTTTCATTCATCTACCTACTTACCTGTCATTTTCCTTCTGCTCAGTTAAATTCAGTTAAATTATTATATTGACTGTCATTCTCTGTGTCCAAGCCTGCTTCTGTAACAAATATAATATAATATAATATAATATAATATAATATAATATAAAAATACAGATCCTGAGAGGCCGTTTCAAGTCTAGACAGTAATATTTCCTTGAGACTGGAGGCTCGGTTTGAACAAGGTGACGTAATGTTCTGGTAAAGCTAACCTCTATTGTACTCAATCAGGTTTCCTTCTTTCAGTATCAGTGTGACTCCATGCCACAACCATATACAGACCAGATACAATTCCATAAGCAACAATTCTGTCACATATAGCAAAAGGGGAGCAGCTATTCTCTTGAAACATTTCTGATGTTTATCTTTTCGTATTTCTCCCCAGTACTCTTCATACTAAGCCAAATGCAGTGACCTAAAGAATAACATTGTGAATCAGATTCAAACATGTAACTGGAAAGTATGTTTTTACAGAAACTGGATATCCAAGTTTATTAGCTGTTTAGTCTAATTAAATTTGTTAGGCTTATTTGCACTTTATTTCTAGTGTTGCTGATAGAATTTTAAGGATATTTGATTTATGTGTGTGATTATTGGTTGTGTCACAACATATGAAATTGAATTCACATATATGTGCTTTGGATTTATACAGCAAATCTGGTGAAGTTGGGGAAGTTTGTCATTTCTGTGGCCCTATAGCGTCACCAAACAGAACTGCAAACACTACAATAATGAACATGTGAGTCATTAGTATAGCACACTTTACCATTATTGTTGGTTCTTAAAAGGGGCTCTAGAGATTTTCCTAATTTGCAAATCTTGCTTTTTACATACAGTATTAAAAATATACCGCGTTGTCGATACACGCGACAACCAATGAGATTTATGAGCAATTTGTTCTCCTCCTTCTCCTTATATGTTGTCTTCTGTGCTCACTTGCCAGCACTTTCATAAAAAATAGACGTTCTCCTGTTTTTGCATGAATAATGATTTGAATTTCAGTCAGTCTTTCACACAAAGCATTTAAATAACCAGCAAACAAAGCATATGGACTACTTTTATGCGCTTTTTTTGAGCTTGACAGTTGCGTCCTTCACCCCTGTAGTATAAAGTATAAAGTAAATATAAAGTTCTATGGGTTTGGACTGACACAAGGGTGAGTAATTGACAGGGTTAATTTGGGGTGAACTATTTCTTTAATATCACCCTGAAAAGCAATATCTATTTATTATTGTTTATATATAAACACACATACACACACACACACTGCATGGGCAAAAAAAAAAAAAAAAGATTGAAATAAGCAAAATACTTAAGGTTTTAGGACTGGATAAAAAAGGTTTTGGCATGTTTCACTGATTCAATCCTAAAATCTTAAGTATTTGCTTTTTTAAAATCCAGAAAGCGTGTTTTTTTTTAACTACATACTGACACAAAAGTTAATTGACTTTTATTTTATTTATTTATTTTTATTTTATTATACATTTTATTTATTTCCTAAATTTTATTCAATGATTTGTTTCTTATATATCGGCTGAATGAAAAAAGCAGTTTTGTAAGTATCAGCTAAATAATCAAGTAAAATGTTTCATTATTTAATATCGTTAAGACAAATTATGACTTGTGGATGAAGTTTTTTACTCATTCACTTTTGCTCTTTTGAAGTAGAAATGAGTCTGGGGTCACAATTACTTACATCATAAAGTGCTAGACTCTCTTTCTTCTTCTTCTTGTCTGTTTTTTGTCCTGCTTCATCACAGGGTTGCTAGTATTCAAAGATTTCCATGCTGGCTCTCCAGTTTTCAAAAGAAGACAAATACTGAAACTCCCCTTTGAACAGAGACATCATCTATGCTCATTCACAAAATCTAATTACTTGCTGTCCTGCTTATGGTTTAGTTGGCAGCCTCATTCAGTTGGTTGTCTCAGAGTTTACAGAGTGTCTCTTTTGGAGCATTACCGTAATGACACTACTTACTCTTTTTATTTTCCTTTGGAGACACTTCACCTAAATGATACTGCCAGTTTGGCCATTCACCTGGCTGCAGGTCAAAGCAATCTAAAAATCCTTGATAATAGGAAATCAAAAAGGCCCTTAAACAGCTGCTTAACTGTGACAGCTGGAAGGGCAAACACATAGTGGTCCAAGTGAGCATTCATCATAATCATTTTTTCATGGTCCTAGGAATTATTTTGCATAACTCCCAGTCATTTAAGAGCTCTCTTTTAATTTTCTGTAATTGCCTGCAGATCTGAAGAGTGCTCCACACAACAATGAAGGGGACTATATTTAAAATTTGTAATCATTAATCACATTTTAATGTAAAATAACATGATGAACTGATCATAATCAGTGAACTATTGTACTCAGTGGCATAGTTTGAACCTCTTAGCGCCCAGAAACTGTGCAGCATGTTGTAATTGTTTAATGTAATAACAGATGCAAGTAAACAGGTTTATTTCTAATCTTATAGACATTGAATGCTTCATGCACCTTCTGCTTTCCTCTAAGAAAACAACCTAGTCAATATGTCTGTGGAAATGTCCAACGCAGGCGCACTCTGGTGTGTGATTCAATTTCAGATCATCGCTTATCTGAGTTCACTGCGGGTTGACCACCATCCAGAATGACACAAACCTGCAGGATAATTGCACTTTACAAGAGGAACATTCCGAAGACAGGACAGAAGGTTTATTTGACGCTGTAAACGCACGTAAATGCAATATAAAAGCTTGTGAAGGTCATGCGCTGGTACATGTGCTGGACAAGGCTGCAGGCATCTCTCTTTCTCTTTCATGTAACATAAGCAGATGGGATGATATATGACTCGTTTTACATATATTATTTTAAAATCCTATCTTAATAATAATGAGAGGCATCATTTGCTCCCGCACCTGTACACACTCACGTTTTTGGCTTTGAAGGCTTTAGCTATTGTCCCATTCAGCAGCAGCATCTCACACTGTCAAGTACCATCAGCAATAAATAGAACTGACAAAGTATGTTTACACCTGTGAAGAAATATACTACAGTAAGCATCTTGCTCATTATGGGTCTCCTCAGAATGACAAGAGACGAATAAATTTATTCTTTCATTACAATTACCCATGCCCATCTTTATCCCCCCTATTATAGTATTAATTAACTTTACATTGATTATGTCCATCTGGAGGGAATGTATAATTCAAGTAGAGTCTCATGCCCCTTTTATGACGTAATTGCGACTTTGTTTCTTAATTGTGACTATGTATCTTGCATTTTGACATAATATCTTTCGATTGTGATTTTATTTCTCCTTTTTGTTGTAAATCACAGCAATATCTCACAGTGTTATCACAATTGTGACCTTTATATTTTAAAATGTCTCTCTTCTTCTTTTCTATGTTTTGTTTATGTGGTGGAGACGGGCCTCCATATGACCAAATATTCCAAAGGTTATCAGGTTAAAAAAGAATGAAATAAACAAATAAATGAATATGAATTACATGAGAACCACGAATTACAATTAAAATATGAAATACATTAGAACCTATTTTACTCTCACAAAGGTAGAGGAAGTACAATACCAATAAATAATTACTTTAGATAAAATTAATGTTAGATAAAATTCATACTTGTAAATATGTGTACAAATAATCACTGCATAATCACTACAAGTATAATATATATATATATATATATATATATAGAGAGAGAGAGAGAGAGAGAGAGAGAGAGAGAGAGAGACTATATTAGTGCTGGGCAACGATTAAAATTTTTTTTTTATCGCGATTAATCACATGATTTATCTGCGATTAATCGCGGTTAATCACATTATGCACAAAATTCAATAATGAATTAAAAAGTGTATTGCGCAATTTTTTCATTAAAAAGTATGGAGTGCGGAACTTCTGATGCGTGCAGCATGATTGCGTGTACATTTCTGAGCGGCAAAAGTAATAGATCTCTAAAGCAATATATTGTGAGAGGGCCGTATGTTACCGCGTCCCAAACGACTCAAAACAACAAACCACAAAGTTAACAAAACGATGCACTCCACTGTGCTGAGCGAGAGCGCTTCTCTGCTGTCTTAACACGTGCTATCGGAAACTTCCTATTTCCCACATATGAAGTCGTGATATAATATAATATAATATAATATAATATAATATAATATAAAAATCTTTACCACTAAAATATGTCATTTAAGTATTATTTACAATTTGTTGACAGCTTTTCCAATG